CCCAACAGTTGCTAGAGCACCGTCACGCCTACCAAAGACCAGCAATCATTGTTTTCTTAGACATCAACGCGGCCTTCGATTGTCAATAGGATCGCACTATGGAACTGTGTGTTGAGCAATGGAGTACCTGAGAAGTATGTATGTATGGACTGGCTCTGAAAGGGCTGTCTATCCAAAAGTCACCCGGTGTTGCAAACAAGGTTACTGTGACGAAAATACACTTCCCGGGTACAAGTATATGAATGAACTGTCAAAAGATTACCGGATACGCATCCCTGACGAACGGCAAGAACTGCGAATCCGATCGTGTGCTTCCAAGGAGATTTTGTCCAGCCATTCACATACTACTTATTCTGATATATATATTTCAACAACTAAAAAACGAGAAATTAAGCACCGAGAATGGTGTGCTTGCCAAAAATCACTTGTTTGATAGAGGAATAGAAATGCGCATGCGATGCAAACATGAAGTACCTAGGGATGTCCTGTGCATCCCAATCAAAAGGTTTGATTGATCGGTAAAATCTCATGTATCCGTCCGCGCTACCGCCATAATGTACTATGCATTACTGAGTGGTATGCGCAGTGGAAGCTGGTTCTAAATGAATACTGATTAGNGAAAAACCGGGAAACAGCACGTCGACAAATAGCATATCCGAGCTTCGGAGGGGTATGAGTCAGACGACCAATGAGTATTTTAACTAAACGATAAGCGAATAAAGTAAATAGAGGCAGGTTCGTGCTGGTCAGGTCAAAAGAAGCAACTATGTAACAGAACCATGGATATTTGATTGAAGGGAAAACATACTGGTAATGGACTCGATCAGCGAACAATCCGATAGAAAGTAATCAGTGATGAGCGATCGCGGGAGCAGGAGAAAGGCAGGGTGAACAAACGCGATCTACCAAATGTCGATAGAAACGTTTATTCATTTATTTTTCACACACCGTGCTAAACACGGCACAGTAAACTGATCTTTATACAACGAAAAAGTTAAATGATTTGCTTATGGACGCGACATTCCCAGACTGGGAATCGATCAGAGTTGTTTACAGACAGGNGCCGAGTTGTACGGCGCAAAACATCCAGACTAGAGTAGAATGCAACCGATCAGAGGGAAAGGAGCGTAATGTAGTGAATGTGAAGCAAACACGGTCCGGTAATAACGCACCGACCAACGGATTCGACTAAACGTCGACTTTCGAATCATCGCATAATGGTCGACTTTAATTCAGTCCCGCTGAGTCCTTGCGAGGAACCTTAAACGTATGTACTTACATGGTAAGATGAACGAAGACGACCAGGACAGTACCGTTGTACTCTTGTAAGACTGCCGTCTATACAGATATACTATAACCCTGCTCGGCTTACGGCACATTCTCGTCAGGCTTAGGTAAAGCATAAATGAAAACGGAAATTGTCTTGCTTTGCTATTTTGTAGGGAGGGAAATAAAGGGGTTTGAGATAGCGTCCTCTCAGTTTAAAACTAACTGGCCCTCGCGATAAACTGCAGGGTTGCAACGTATCTGTGACTTTTTATCAGCAATTAATTTTTATCCGCACTCTCCATGTCAAGCGGCCCACCCCTTACAAGAAAGGTTCTATGACCAGTGGAAATGAACGCTACCAGGGTCCAAATGGAACAGTGGTGAAGTAGGCACTAATTTTGTAAATGAAAGGTCGGAGAAAATCGACGCTGGGGTGGTGCACGTTCGCCGTGAAAGAGACCGCTTGCAATGAAAGTCGTAAGTATCCACGGCAGGCATCGCAAATCGCGAACCTGGCTTGCTACTGATTAGGATCGTCACCGTCACATTTTTTCAGAGGTGACACTTGGCGCCTAACAAGAAAGATGCTCAAACTCGAAAAGGTCAAGTGGAACTGGGAATGTAACACTATAAACTCCAGGGTATAACTATAGCACCCTCGTAGGATCTTGGATTATCTCCGTTCCCATCACCATTTTTGAGAATCTAGACGGCAGAGAAATTTCATCCAACTATTATTTGAATAAAGAACATAACACTGCAAGCGAGCGCGATTTAATTCCGGATTAATTTCACTGTATCTCCGCTGGTGCGTACTGCAGAACAAAATAGTTTATATATCAAGGGGCACGGCAATCGAGCATGACATCAGCTCATTCTTTCGTTTGCGTGATCACCGGCTTAATGTCAGGCTGATTTAAACCTGCTGACACACCAGGGGCTTTCGGCGCTTGATTGTTATGACCTCTGCAAATCTTAGCAGTTGTCCATTCGGGATTGTGTAACCAACCCGAAGCGAAGTCCCGCGATCGGTTTGGTGATCAGTCTGCAGGAGATGGAGAGCAATGATGCAAGTGCTCTGTAATACTGGTTTAATGGCCTGGTTGTTTGTGTAGCGCTCAGTCTCATCCGTCCGCGTTCGACCCATACCGGTATGTGTTCCACCACTCAGGTACGCGGATGCTTCTGTGTTATACCCACGTAGGTACCTCCGCACCCATATTGAAATCCATAGATTACATGTCATTTGGTGGATAGAGGGAGCGGTAATTTCATCTGGATTGTTGTGAAGCGAACGATGGGATTTGCAGCAAAACATGTGCTATTTTTAGTTTTTACAACCATTAACCATGCACCTTCGTCCGCCGGTTCTGGTTGCTGTCTTTTGGCCGCCCGTTCGAATAAAAGCGCAGAATGGAGATTGGAATGTTGAGAGTAGAGTCAAAGGGAGGATAGAAAGTGCATTTAGACTGCGGTTGCAAGATTGTTGAGTGGATGTACGAGCGATGTGAATCCTGGAGTGCTGGTATACCTTATGGGTAAGAACAGCCCAAACGTATTCTATTTGGTTCAAATCTGGACTGCACGAGGACCACACCATTGTTTCGATGTCGCGAAATAGCAACCAGCATTTGATTAGATATAAGTGGTGTGTCGTGTTTGGGATGGGCGCACGATTGATACGCGCGGCTCTTGCTTAACCCGCAACAACAACGCAGAGAGAGAACACGGCTTGAGACAACAGTGATAGGTAAAGTCCACCCACCCTCCTAAAAGTGACTATTTCCTCCTATTTTTCTTTATTTTCCTAATCGTTTTTATGAAATTTGAATTTCCGAATTTTGGCACCGGAAAAGCTTCATACCACACCATCGGCCTTATTCGATTGGTCCATTTTTTTCGTGACTATACTTTCAAGCTAATTTCCAATGTCATTGCTGACCGGTCCCAAAACTGAATATAAACAGACCAGTGGTCCACAATCTTCACCTTTTTGGGTCGAACCAAATATACAACCTCGCCTAAAAGGCCTGTATTCCGTCTTCCCTATGGTTGGGTCCGGGGATGGTACTACTCTCGTGGGGCGTCCTTCCGGTTCTCTTGGGAGTAGAGCTGGGTACCGCAGTCGTGTGCTGTTCATTCGGTCACTGGGTCGTTACGGTTCTTGTTTGTGGCCAGTACTACCGCGCGAATCGTTTGGGTCACGGTTCAGGCTAGTTCGGTTGAATCGTCTGTCAACATCACCACAAACGATCAGAGTGTATTTGATTATTAAGGTCCGAAACGCAAATGTATATTTTATATCAGGCACCCCCATAGTCACGAATACCTGCTATTCAGTGATGGAAACCGGTAGCCTAAGCCTCGCGACTTGGAGTGGCGAACCACACAGGGACCTGCTAGGTTAGGCGTGGTACTGACCCAGACGACAGCAAACCTGCCTACCACCCGAGTTGGGTGGCGAGGCTCGAACCTCGGATCATAGGATCCAAAGCCCACCATAGACAGCGACTAAACCACTGCGCCACCATCACTATCCACAAAGTAGCCTTTTCCCACAATGCCCTAAAATAAAAAGTATGTGAAAGGTGTCTTACCAATGTTCTTGAGTGTAAAACGGTCAACTACTCATATGTCTCAGTTGCGTTTGCAACGATCTTAGCCAATGGTACAGTAAATCAAGTCGCAAAAAGCTCACTTACACAGAGAAATCAATAAGAAGGAATAAATATAATTGAAAATCAATATAAAGAACAAATAATGAAAGCAATTATGCCGTAGAAGTGAAACCGTGCAAATAGTCGGATGTGTTCTCTTTTGTACTGGGATATCTGTAAGGATCTTAGAGCCATGGGGCCAGGACCGTTGTAGTAGATTCAGCCACAAGTTCAATAAAATTGAACAAATCACAGATCTTTTGCAGCGTTAGGCTCTTCAAAAGCCTCCGACCGGCGAACGTTGATCCCCGCCATGTTCAGTAAATGGCGGTCAGCTGACTCTCGCCAATCCTCGTCCAAATTGAATTTTCTGTTCTTCTCTTTATTGACCTAAAAAGAGAGTAACACAATTGTCACATGTGAAAATCGTCAGAATAGCAATGACTTGCAAAAATGGGTAGAAACTAACCTGCTGCAGTTCCCAGGTTTTCTGAGCTGCCAGCTTGTCCAGGTGACTTGAAGGACCAGCTGCCCAAATTTCTACGGCAGTTAGTTTCATGGGTGGACTGCCGGCAAACTGCACTGATGTGAAGCCTTCGTCAATTTCAATTGCCGGCGAAGTAAGCGGTTGGTGACCGACCAGTAAGCCACGACGCGAGGTTTTCAGAGTAAAGTTTGAATAGATAATACCATTTTCAATTCCAGGACCCATTTTCTTCGTAGAATATCCAGCTACATGAGGTAAAAATCCAAGTTATTATTACTGTTGCTCTTGAAAAGTGACTATTCTAAAACTGACTGAATAGATAGATAAATAGACGGTTAAGAGTTCAATGTGCCGTTCTAGTACCCGGTGATAATACGAAATATGTGAAAGAGCTTCTATTTTGAAGTCATAAGTCCAGCAGACTTATAATGTATTTTCTTTACAAGCTACGAAAAAACTTAAGACTCCATACGGTTGGGGTGGGTATCTTGAGTTGTGTCTAATCACCCCATATACCTCAAGAAGTGCCCCTTCACGACTCAGTGTCTCAAATATCCTCTGTTGAGGAAACCCTAGTCAATGTTTTACGTAGCGGTGTTAGCCGACCAGCAGAAATGCAACGAACAATTCGCTCAGTTTCGTCCACAGGTAGACCTTGTTTCGGGATGCAAGCAGATGCACAATTAGCAAAGTAGAGTTATGATTTTTCCCATCCACTTTGAATATGATGTAAACGCTGAAAATTCACCTATCCGGGTGAATAAAGCTAGTATCAACTTGACTTGAAGATGGCTGAAGAAAGAACTTGTTACCTATTTCGAGAGATTGAAACACTTCCGGCGGTACCTGTTGTTGTTCTCGTATTGTGATGGGGTGAACTTTTTCAGCTATACGAGGATGGGAAAAAACTTTTGACCAAACCAGGAACAAATAGGTCTACAGACGGGGAACATAACACGAGAGAGTTTACCGAGTGAAAATACACGCAGTGAAAGTTTTGAATTAAGTATACCAGTGCAGTGGACGACGGCAGAATCATCGGGTGCAAGCATCCATTAGGAAAATGCGTAATCTAACAGAGTATTCCTGATAATAGTTGTTTAATCATCAGAGTTGCTTCACTTTGTTCAACGGAGACTTTAGCGTATTTTCGACAACATATACCATCGGCTGGTAAACACAGCGTGACACTGTCATTTAGTCACAGAAAGACATCCTTATGGTTGAATCGTGAGGAGATCCGGACCTCCTGTGTGGCCTAATCGCTCAGTAAGTGGTTTGAGGAAGGCAGCAATCTACCTGTTTCTAGGAGAAGTCAAAATCAATCAATGGAGGACTACCGAGAATTCATGGAATGTATGGGCAGTTACCTGAGTCCCTAATCTGCTCAGTTTTGTTGGTTACATCTGCCATGGAATGTTCTAACACTCGCTATCGCGCGGATTTTTCCTTATTCTCAAGGCCATGTCGTGTACATAGAATGAGTACATTTTCCACTTGAAAAGGAACGTAGTTGTACGCCCTTGAATACAACCTTCAGGATGATCTTGCTGGACTATGATTTTGGGAGGTCGGCGGTTGAACAATTGGACTGGGACTTTTGAAGCGTGATTTCATGAGACATGGAGCATATGATGTACAAAAGCGTTGGCGGCGCCCATACATAGATGCGAATACCACCGAGGCTACGAATATTTTAACAAATTAAACTGTCGTTTACGCCCGGGGGGAAATAGGATTACTTGTAAGTACTTCACTAGCTAATAAGNGCTCTCAGGCGGTCGCAACACAAAGCGTGATTACCTGTGGCGGTCACTGATTCTAAATGTCTACAGTCTTTAAGAATGTGGGTACTTTAAAAGGAGATATTGTTTACAAAATTGGTGGTCCAACAGGTGATAGGTCAATCAGCTTTCATCCGTTCTCGTCATACTTTGCATATTGGGGACATAAACCAGTGGCTAACCGGTCCAGAACGGTGACAAATACCGTTAAGCTTCGTCAATCCCAAAGTTGTGGAATGCAGAAAACAGGTCAGGTGTTAATCTGTTAGCGATCGAATTGGTCACGCTTCACTCTACGGCAGATGCTTAGACTGTGTCCTGAAAGCATAAGTTTACGTGACCAGGAAAACTCATTCTATCCGTTGACCACGAAACCCTCATTTGCTTTTTTGTGAACCAACTTCGGTCGTTGCTTCCATATGATTGATCAAGTTTTGTGAGAAGACGAGCAACGAAAAACCAGCATCCGTGTTTAATATCATCATCATTATCGTACAGCGAAAAACAGGGAGGCGAACTACAATGATGGTGGCCAAACTCACAATGCATCTGCTTTTGGGTTTGATGGACGGGTACTGCTAGGGTGTCCAGTCACCAAGCAGGAGAACGATTAGGGTTCTCATCCAAAGCCTTTAGTTCTGACAAGAACCTAGCCGCAAGGCAGCGGGTGAAGCGAAGTGGAGGCTCATTTACTTGGATCAATTACTCCTCCAGCGCTTCTGACCGACCGAAACGCCAATTCCAGTTGAACCCCCCAACCTAGAGGACCAGGAGACTGAACTTCGTCTGACCCCTACCCATTGACCTTCCAGGCATGATTAGATCTGGCTTGACAAAAGCTATCTTGTATAGCTTGTTGGGTCATAGAAGTGCACAAACCATCACACCACATCAAGGTGCAGTCTCATTGTGATGGAACCAAGTGCAAACTTCGCGGACAACGTTGATAGAACCGAACAGGGGATCAGAAACACGTCTTCGGAGAAACGCGCTAATCAAATCAAGCACGAAGCCTCTGATGTCGTATTTGTAGAGCTTCTCAAACCTTAGTGATTTACCCGATCAAGTGCTTTCAAGAAGTTCAGATTAAACACAGCCACTGGACATCCTTCGTCGTGAGCAAGAAGCAAGTTAGTGAAAAAGGATTGCTCTTTCCTGAACCCATGTTGAGTTGTCGAAAGACTGTTGTATCCTTTCAAGTGTTCCATCAGAGAATCTACCACTGTCGACTGCATGAGTTTCGATAACACTGGTAGGAGGGTTACCGGTAGGTAGTTAGCGGGATCACTAGGACAACCACCTTTGTATATAGTTGATTGTGGACGTGTTGTTTGGCCAAATATCTGTTGGAATAGGGTGGCTAGTGGTTCGGATGTGCTTCGCCAAATAGATAAGGATTTCCGGATGTATACTGTCCGCACCTGGGGTTGAATTTATTTCGCAAATTCACTAGTTTTTCTTTGATCTTTTCAGCAGCTGGTCAGCGAAGGACATGGAAGGTGGTGCAGCCGGGGACGGAGCTGTAGATCTTCAACATGTGGTGCTGCAGAAACCTTGGAATATTGAGTTTTAAACACTTCACCTGCTTCCGTGGTGGTGGCTGCAACTCTCCAACGCAGCTTAGTGCCAGTATGCCACATTTAACATTCCGAATCGAGTTAAGGTGCTTATAGAACGGCTTCGGGTGAAAGATGAATCTCTGCGCTAGCGCCTCTTGGTACATCAGCTTGTCCTCACGAATTAGCATGGTGCAGTGGTTCCTCAGCATACGATAGTTATTCCACGAGACAACATACAGACTACGTATATAATCTCGTCAGGATAGATCCCTCAGACATATCCATTTCTCGGTGCAGTTTCCAGTAGACGAATTTCGGATGCTGGAATTGGTGACTACTATAGTCTTAGTCACTGATGTTAGAAAGTTTATAAGACTATCAATAAATTTGTCATAAGATCAACGGATTGGGCTCTTCGTCATGGGGAAACCAACTGAAAAGAGAAAGCCAAGTTATGAACCGTGTATAATCTAGGGATCTGTGCGTGTTATCTGGAGAACTTCCTTGAATAGAAACGTGACAAATAAATTTAATTGTAAGTAATGCATGGTCACTGCGTCCTAGGAAAGGGGTAGAGTTACATTAATAGATTCTATCATCAGCTCTTCGTCTGTCAACACGATATGCAGCATTGATGGTGGACGCGATTCAACCGGCTATTTGAACTGAAGTTCGAATAATGGACGGACGGTAGTTAATTTATTGAGATTGGGTCAGCTGAAACCATCCATTAAGAGAACATGAGTAACGCCGTGTAGGAATTTGCGATGTAGTTTGCAAAAGAGTTTCGTTGACAGCCTCAGTACGGTCGAGGGTTGGTGTCTAGGGTTGCGGTTGGTCACCCTTCCCTTGAACCTCGCGAAATGCTCCCATACGACCAAGCGTCTCAAATGGCCTCTGCTGGAGACGCCCTACTCACTACTTTCTCGTGGCGGAGGTATTTTTCCACCAAAGTGAGAGGACGAATAGCCGACATCCGGGGCTATAACTGGGTTGGTGGACCACTGGTAGTTCGTCTAGGGGAGCTGGCCAAAAACCCTGATTTCAAATTAACCGTGAGGAGGCGTACGAACCACACCCATACCTTTTCGGTTGTGGCAGTGGTCACCGGTTCAATTGAGGATTGAGTATTTTGGGCACCTTGGACGTTTGACCCCGTCCGAAGGGCACGATCCGATGAACCGGACACTGGCTCCCAATGGACTGCGGTTTTCACACTACCCCGCTGTCTTCCGGGTTAGGCTTTGGCTAGCCGAAGGCTCTGGTTGTGGATTCCTCAAGAAAATTCACCTGCCTTGGCCTGGGAAATCTGGCAGTATTTAGCCCACAAACCATTCACGGAACGTTTTTCTCTTTAGTAAAGAATATTGTACCATGATTTACTTGGCACACAGACCGTCCTCAAACAAGTGTGAAATATAATATAGTAACAACCGAAATGATGGGGGACAATAGATTATGCCAATCACATTCATCGTATTTGGACGGTTGTAACTTATACCAAAGTGTATTAGGAGCCGAAACCGATCCTAAAGTCAAACGCCACCGACAAAGGCATGAAAAGATGCACAGCTACTTTCATCTGTTTGTGTTTCATCAGTGATGCGAATTCATCGATCCAACTCAGAACTGAGTAGGACTTTCACAATTAGAATGTTTGTGTACCGAGGGCCTTGCGCACAATGAGTTTATTTTCCTCGGCGCCCATAGCTAATCCGTCAGAGATTTTATTTGTAAAACGTATGCTCCTTCGAACGTCCGGTGCCCCGGATCAAACAACGAATGCCCTTTTAACAATCTCAGAAACTCGAACAAGATGAAAAAGTCTGTTTACAATCATCCACTTATTTCCCTCTCCCATTCAGGAGAAGTTAATCGCTTGGAAATTCTGGGGCAGAGATC